AGGCCACAGACCATTTAGGAAACTCAAAAGGTTTCACACTTTTTATAACAAATGGGAAGACAGGCATGTGGGCAAAGAATGCACTGCCGGCCACCTTGTGTTTTCTTCAGTCAGGTCCACCACACAAAAATTCTTGCAATTCAATTTTAGATGAGCTTTGGAGTTACAAGTTAAAACTTGGCGGTCACAAACACAATGTACTTTATGTCGCTTTCTATTTTTCTCAGTGTTGTGCATCCACGCTGTGTTAACCACATCCTGAGCCTCAAGCCATGACTCACCGTGTTCCGATTCCACTCTTTAGTCGCAATTGCTGCTGTTTTTCTCCTCTCTTGTTCTTTGTTCAGCCGCTGCAGAGCTTCATTGTCCATGTCGATTCTCCTTTGGTCGTCCTGCAGCTCTGAGGGCCCAGACATTTAGTGAGCTCAGGTGTGTGTGTGTGTGTGTGTGTGTGTGTGTGTGTGTGTGTGTGTGTGTGTGTGTGTGTGTGCGTGTGTGCGTGTGTGTGTGTGTGTGTGTGTTAGCTTGTTATGAAAACCTACTCTCCATCTTCTGTCTGTGTTTTTCTGCACCCTTCTCATCCTGCTGCTGGATCAGCCACCTTTGGAGCTGCTCCCTCTGCCTCTGTGCTCGTCTCCTGCTGTCCGGGTCTTCGCCGAGCAGACCAGGCAACATCATCATCTGCGCTTTCGCGTCCAACTCCTTCCCGCCATGAGGCTGTTGGTACTGACGCCGGTAGTCCACGATGGCCTTCTCCGTGTCATGTTTGACCTTCAGTTGTTGAGTATGGAGCAGAGAAGCGTGTTCTATATTGTCCAACATAGCAGCATCTGTGGGGAACACCGAGAGCTGCTTAGTCAAACATTCTCGCAGAGTATGATACCCATTCTTTCATTTTCAGTAGTTTGTCCACATTAGCATGCAAGTGGGTGAGCTGGGGGCAGAGTATGGTTAGGAGTGGCAGTGGCATCCCTTAAAATCTAATTGGACCTCCCAAAATCTGGTCGGACCTCCCGGCTGCCACTCCAGATAACTGACATGTAACGGCAACCGTGCGCTGCCCGACTTGCAGCACTGCATTTATGTCCGTCCACACCCTCTCTTGGTAAACAGTTCATACAACAGTTTATAGACTACTTCACCATGTCAACTATTTGAAATGTTTGAATGTTAAAATGTGTGTAAATTGCTATTTTAAGCTTTCCACAGTTGATTATAGGCATATATGTATATATGAGTATTTATTACCATTACCATAATGGCGATTTAATTTCTTCAGAAATATGAGTTTTTTTGGTGGCTAATTTTTCTAATCTGGAAGTAAAACACCTGGCTCACAAAAATTCCGCCTGTCCATGGCCGCCGCGCCACCGCACCCACCACATTTCATAATAATGATGATTTTAAACTAGCACACTGCCTTACAACATCCTAATTCCACATCTCAAGAAATTATATTTTTTATATTACGTAAGAAACAAGCAAAATTATTATTACAATAAAAATTGCAGGAATCGACCTTCTGAAAAGTATTTACCCATGTGCTTGGAATGTATATAATTTATCTCTTTTTAAATTACACTACATAAATAAATCAAGTTGAAAACAAAATAGGTAACTATAAAAATCATACTTCGTGCCACATTTTCATTCTAATCATGTTTTAATTACAGGCAATATATATATTTTAATTCGCTCACCATGGGCTTCTTGTTCTTCCTTTTCTGCCTTTTTCCTTGCCATCTTCTCAGCCACTTGCTTGTCAAGAAACTCCTTGTCAACCTAAATTTTTTTTTGAATATGAATAATGTAAAATGGTACAGAACACGTGCAACACAAACAACTTACTCCGATGCTCCTCAGTTTGTCATCCAACAGCCTCTCTCGTCTTCGAGCCTCTGCGTCCCGACGTCTCTGCACTTTAACATTTGACAGGCCTTCCGATAACAATTCAAAGTTGTTCATCATCATGGTCATACACGGATCGGGCGAAAGTGTTTACCGCGGAAAAGTAATACGCCTTTTTCAGTGGGGGTTGTGCGAACTGCGAAACACACGGGTTACTACGACAACGAACGCCTCGTGGTTCTTCGGGAAAAGTCGGCTATTTCCGGTACTTCTCCGAGACACGTGGACAAGGTCATAGTGTACCACCTTTAATAGACCTTTGCCTGCGTTTTCATAATGCTTCGTCCATCAAAACATAAATGTACAAGTTTCAAGTTTTATGGCACAATCGAAACCAATGTAATATTTAATTATGTGATTTTAAAAATATCAAATTTTAGCATTGAAAGAAAATTACGTTTTTGTTTGTTTTAATAATGTATACTGTTAAAGAGCAGTCCCTTGATCAATATAACGATACAAAAAAAGCAATCGAAACATTCTGACATTAAAAGTTCTGAAAGCCACAATTATGATGATGATGATGATGATGATTGTTATAGATGTTTTCAAATTTTTATTTTAACATCAGCAATTGGCTGGCAATCAGTTCATAGTGTACCCCATACTACTGCCCAAAGTCACACGACATAGGCTTCAGCATGCCCGCAACCCACGTGAGGATAAACGGTTCGGATAATGGTTAGCTACAATCCTTGACACAGTCACAGATGCCAGACGATTACAAACTCAGCATTATTCCCTGGCAAGATACGATCCATATGACAAACAGAAACATTTATGGAAATACATAACTTTATTCATTGAAAAAAAGTCGATACATTCCAAGATCTAATCTTTGGATTAACAGTGCCACCGATCTAAAGAGTCGTAATAAGGTGCTCAATGGTCCAGCTCTGTCCTGTGCACTGCTGAATGATGAGGACATACTGGTAGTCTGAGTTTTCACTCCTACTGATCTCAAAGCATCTCTTAGTTGCTTTGTTTTGAATTTCTTTGCCCTGTGAACAGTGGAAAAAATAAAGTCACGTTGTATGAGAAAGCAGCAGCAATGGAATTGGCATGTTTTGCTGAACAAGTTTAATTTGTGGTAGCCTACCTGTTTGAAGTCCCAGTGCATGTGTTTCTGGTTTCGCTTTGCCAGGTGACAGTCCAGCAGGGTCGGGGTATTGCTCGAGCCCGGATCAACCAAGCATCGGTTTTGGTTGTATTTGTGAGATTTAATGCCACCAACAATGATTTCCCCCTCTTGGTTGTAATAGCAGTGCTGGTAACAAGAATGCAACTGAAGTTGTCATGACAAATTTCAGTATTTTTAAACATAGGTACTCTATGTGAAACAGGTTCTCCACTTATGAGTAGGTGGAGCAGGACTTTGGGCAGAAAGGGCCGTCAACCTCAAATGGGCTCAACTCAGCAAGGCCAAAACTTTGGCGTGTACTGTAAAGCGTAATTATATAATTCTTGATCGTGACATATTTTCTTAAACGGTACCTGCGGTTGTTGGAAGTGGCATTTGTAAAGTATGGGGATGGTTCCTGGTACGGGTCCTTGGTCCACGCAGAGGTTCCTCAGTAAGCTGTTCCTCATCTTGTATCAGAAAGATTGCAATCGGTGACTCTACTGATTGACCCGATTACAACTCCACTGTGGAAAACATTTTGCACAACTTCAGTCAACATGCACATGAAGGTCCTACTTACCACTCCGTAACCCAGCAGGTCATCCCACGTAGCCAGACTTGGATACACGTTTTCAAGGTACCACTTGAATGGTTTACACCGTAACCTTTCCCTGAGCTTCTTCCTCTCTGCGACGTCACCAATATCAATTCCGTGATCCTGCGTGCCATACAGCAGGGCATGTAACAGGACCGTCTGTCCTCGTCCTTTTAAAGCGCTTCCGTCCCAGTCCGCCCCCCCCCAGTCCGTGCATGATGCCGCCGGAGATGGGGAGGGCCGCAATTAATACCCCACAGACGAGACAGCATTTACTTTGCTCAATAAATTTGCATAGCTGATGATCCCATCTTGAATGGCGACTTTTGCAACAACCGCAAGCAAGTATTATCATAGGCAACATTTACATTACATATACAAAGACGCCTTCTTGAGTATGTTGATGCTGCAGCCATATTGGATGTGGCAAATTATGAATATGCTTCCTCCTTGCAGATGGATCATCAAAAACTCACTGGATTAATCGGGAATTATTGCTTTTGATTGTATGACGCTATCCTAGCTCAACTGGAGGCAGTTATCAACCTGAAGCGGAAGGTTCCATGCGATCATCACATTCTTCTTATATTCATCCATCCAGATTTCTGCCACCCTCAGAGCATTCCTCCTCATCATAGGATTGAGGTCAAGTGCGTACGGTTTATGCGACCGTTCAATGTGAGCTATCCTGGAGCACGGCACCACCTCGATGCTTCCTCCACATAGCCAAATCTGATCATAACAACACAGAGATCACACTCAACAATGTTTGACACATTTCTGCCACATTTATACCAGGTGGACACTTACACGAATCCCAAGCTCGACATTTTCACCTCCGTAAACGGTCATTCCGCCATCGAGCCCTCCAATTTCTCCCAAAAATTCTCGGTGTGCTGCGAATATTCCCATCACGGAAGGACTCCTGTGAATAAGAAATACACAACAGCAAAGGTAGACTTATCCTTTTTATGCTTTCAATCAAGTAAATCTCTTAATGAATGAATATAGTCTCGCTGACGTTGACGTCACTCATCATATAACGCACTGCGCCAAATGTGAATGACGCCATTTTGGCAGGATACTTTGGAAACTAGGCCGAATCATAATTTTCCCATTCGATTCAGGAATACCATAACATATTGTCATCAGAAAGGACTGTTTGGATCCCCCTTTGTCTGATGTTTCTACATGAGGAGTGCACATGCCTGAAAGTTACTACACGAGAGCAAATCCCTGGGAGTAGTTGCATAGTTGTTGGACAACTGATGGACCTGAGAGACGAACAAGTTTAGCACGAAGCTTGGATGAGACTAATACAACACAACGTAGAAGGATTTAAAATGGAACCAAGGGGGGAAAAAAACATCCATGATGCCATTGACCAAGGTACGGCGAGGGATCCTAAAAGTAAATTATTTTAATCCAGGGGGTACCCTTTAGCCGAAGATTTTCTTTTCAAGCAACCAACCTCCATGATCGATCCTTTATGTACGTGCACACATACACTCATGCAGGCACACGTGCGTGGACCCATGCACACATACGCACGCATCCAGGCATGCAATCATGAGCAACAACCGTAATGGCCCCTAACATGATACCGAAAAATAAAGTAGTAGGGACCTGACGTGGAAGCATGGAATGCACTTTTGCAGCATGTTAAGTGCAGAAACTATTGTGGGTAAAACCCACCCAAAAAAAGGCAAAAAGGAAAGCCAGAGAGTGAGACACTGACAAAAACATCCATCCTTTATCTGAGCCGCTTTATCTTCACGAGGGTAGCGGGCATTTTGGAGCCTATCCCAGCCGTCTTTGGGCAGTAGATGGGGTGCACCCTGAACTGCTTGCCAGCCAATCGCAGGGCACACCAAGACAAACAACCATTCGCACACATCATTACACTTAGGATAAGAACCTGTGGCCTCTGCTCTATGAGGCGGATGTGCTAAACACTTGCACACCATGCTACCTTGACAAAAACGTTCATGATAAATGTAAATACGGTTTGGAATGGTAATTTCACAATTGATTTAACAAAGTAGTATAAATTTATAAAATGGGTAACTATAAGTTTAAAACAGTACATGGAATAAAGATGGTTTTAAAAAAGAATGAATAATAAATACAAACTACAGTACATTTAAGAACGAATATGTTTTTAAATCGTTCATACCTCCATCAAGGAAAAGGAGCTTTGATGCAATAACTTGTGAAAAGGGAATGACTAATTTAGACACTCAGATTGAGATACAGATTTTGAAGTTTCATGACGTTTTTTTTTTCTTTTTGAAAAAAAAACCCCAAGGTATTTGGAGTGTAAAACAAGACTTTTCTGAGTCTCAGATCTTAAACGGCATGATTATTGAACTTGTATTGTGAAGTGGTGTTAAATTGAAGTTCATTATATTGAGGTGTCACATCATACATCAACGTTTGACCGATGTCATTATTTCATTAGACTCGTAAGCATGAATGCTAAAGTCAGGTTTTCAAGACAAGAAAAAAAAAAACAATTTAACAAACGAGAACAGTCTAGTTACCTTAATTCAACCTTTGTGGATTACCATGACCTGGTGACTGAGAGTCTTTGGCTTTAGCCACAAGGGCTACTGCTCAGCCGGCAAGTAAATGAGTTCTCTGAGTGGAAACACCTGTGGCTAAAGCCAAACTGTGGCAGGTTTTGCATTCTGGATTTTGCACCGCCGCTGATCTACACTGTCTAATTGTGACATCACTTGGTATTCATCACCGATGATTTCACACAAACGGTTAATGTCATTTTTGCCATTGCAAAGAGAAAATGCACAATTTTTAATACAAGATAGTTTATTGATATTGTGAGAGGAACGGTGCTCTTAGGCTAATCATTTGACCTTACTCCTCTCTCTTTTTGAATAATCAATATTATAAAGTGACTTGACATCGGCCATCACTTGACTTACCCATATCAAAATGATATGGGACTGACCGGAGACTTTCAATGACTGAATCCTTTTCATCCTTCTTGTAAACTTAATTGAAAAAAAAAAAAAGTTTTGCTTACTTCCCAGGTCGGGAGTTATCGTTGCCCCTCCACCACTCTGCACTGAAGGACTCGTACATGCACCACAGAGGCCAGTCGAAGCCTTGCGCAGCGGGGAGGTACTTTTCCACACCGAGGTCATCAAAATTGATCTTGTCGAACACAGGAGACACCACCACCGTCCTGTCCGCTTTGATCCGAGCGAGCAGAGGTTCTGCCCTGGTGAGGAGATCAAAATAAATGAACAAACTCCTTCCATGGAACCCTTTCCCATTTAAAAGAAGGCGAGCGTACCAGCCTTCTGCGACTTCAATATGAGCGTCCAAAATGGCCACGACATCTGCCGTCGCATGTTCCCAACCTGAGATCCGAGACTGTGACAGGCCCATTTGGCGATGATGCCATACTTTCTTTATCAGCCCAGGCTTGTCTTTGTGGATTTCATCGATGTAGCCTTGTAACGGCCTTCCAAGGTCATCTGAAACAGAACTGCCAGTACTTTTGACAACAAGAAATGCTAATGGGTTTACTTTTTTGCATGGACAAACTGCAGAACAGACTGCAGTCTGCAAAAGGGAACTCACTATAAGTGCTGTGATCATCCACAAGAATGATTTCCTTGAGTAGGTGCTTTGGAGTGTATGACATGACACTCTTGATTGCCCTTTTAATGACTGAAAGCGCTTCATTTAAGTAGATGAGCACCACGCTGATGCTGGGCAGATCTTGGGGATAGGCCACTGACAGACATCTACAGAAAAAAAAAAAAAAAAAATTGTATGGTATGTATGCTCACTGGAAACGTAATTAGGTACACCTGGATGAAAAAAAAAGATGAAAAATTCTGCCTTTGCAAGAATCAATGTTGATATTTGATGTTTGATGTTGATACTTTCAATGTTTTATGTGTTATGCTCTCAATTTCACTGTACAGTGCTGCTCCTGGTGTGTGCACGTTGGCCACATGAGCGCAGTGTCATAAAAAAATATTCACTAAAAAAACATGGGGTAATATTTACTTTGAAAAAAAACTAGTTACGTTTTTTTCTTATTCATAAATTCTAAGTACATTCTACTTGCACAGGATTAGTTTTATCTTTTTTAAGTCACTCAAGGGTTAAGGAATAAATCCACAACCTTAAGATTGATAAGCATTCAAACCCTAAACTGTTGTGCAATGTGTGCGCAGAATCAGATGTTGAGAACTAGCCTTTAATCAGATTAGGTTGTCAACAGTTGTGCATTTTGTGCTTTTGTAGTGGATTTCGCTTGAGATAATATGATTTTGAATTTCCGAAGAAAAGTTTGCATAGAAATGAAGACAGAGCAAATTACCTGCTGTCTCTCATGTCTGGAAGCTTCCGGTCAAGTGGTAACCGGTTACTGAGGAACACGTTGTAGCCGTAAATCTGATACAGGGATTCCGCCTCTTTCTGCTCCTTCTCTGACAGGCCATCTCCCCACTTGGCAAACAGGAAGGAGTTTGGATATAACTTAGGCACCACGACCTTTGATTTCCACTGGGCCATGTCAGGAGAAAGTTTGTTCAAGGTGCCGTTGTCAACATTTGATCCTTCCATCAGCTTTTCTTTGGGACCGTTTTGTTCGTAAAGGCAGAGGATGATTGAAAAATACACATTATTTAGAGTCACTGTTAGGCAGACGAGTTAATTAATTACACAGATGTGCCTAATGTTGTGGCGACCACTAACATATTCAATCTTAAAATCCTGGATTAGCTCAAATCCAAATAAATGTTCAAAATCAGCAACAACTGAATTTACGGACACATGTACAAATACATTGAAGGTAATTTATAAGTTTGCACTCACCGAGCCTGCGGAGCGTCTGTTCAATACTATCCAGTCTCCTTACGACATCTGCATCTCCTTTAGGAAAAGACGTATGTGGTTTCACATGTCTGTTCCTAAAAAGGATGGTGTACATTGAGACAATAAGGACGACTCCAACTACCCCTGCTAAACGGACATAGCTCTTCATTTTGTTTTCGATTCACCGTGCATGGATTGCAACCCCTCCATGGCATTTACAACTTGATAAAGCACTTCTTATCTTCAAGATAACCTCTGTATTTCACATGTTTGAATATTTCAACAAACACTTTAAATAAATGTTTGTTTGTGAATGCGATTGAGCAAACTAACCATCTATTTCTGTTAAAAGAAACCACATCCACTTGATATGCTTCCCCACAAACTGAATAATTTAAAAGTGAACTAATTATAAATTATCAATGGAGCTCTATAATGCTCGTTACAAAGTTCACCTCAATAGTTAATATGTACACAAATTAATTCCGGCTGCCTTTCAAGACACTCAAGGACACTGCACAAAGTAAAATAAAAACAAGCTGCTCAAAAAAACAAAACAAAAACAAAACCAAAAAAAAAAAAACAAAACAAAAAAAAACCACCATTAGAGTTCCATCTCCAGGTCACCAGAGACAACAATGGATATGTTTCTTACCAGCGTAGCCAGTATGACTTTATCTGTGAGAGGGGTGTACCCCAAGGTTCTTCTTTGGGGACACTCCTTTTTTCCATTTTTATTAATGGTTTGCCTAAAAACTGTCCAGACAGTCTTATTTTCTTACATGCAGATGATGCCATTATTTAGTGTTCAAAACCAGAAGTTTCATAAATTCATTGCCCATTGTAGGAAGGAAGAATCAGTTTGGTACAAAAACGGTTGAACCAATATAATATCAAAAAGAAGAAACTGATGGTGTGCAAGTTCTCTTCCATTGCAAATTAAGTTTCTTGATGGTTTCCCCCTTTAGAAAACAGAGGAATATAAATATATGGGCCTTTAGTGTGAGCCTCAGCTTTCTTTTAATTCAAGTATTGATTCAATCGTGCAGAAGTTAAACTGCAGCTTGAGAGTTCTTTATCACTCAATTAAGTGTTTTAGCTTCCAGTTATGGAAAAGAATAATTTCACGATTTCCAATTTTAGATTACGTACGCAATTATAGTATGTGAAAAAAACTCAAATCTTTATCCTCTTAATCTTGGCTACCATAGGCTTGCTAGATTTGTCTTGAGTTGTCCTTATATGACACTCGCTTGCTGAGTTCAAAAACAAATTCAAGAGAGTCGTACAAGAAAACTATATTAATGAGAATTAAGTTGATAAAATTTGATATATTTATAAAATATAGAAATACATCAGAATTACATTGATAAATGAATTGAAAAGGAGTATCTGTTATGAATATGAGAAAATCAACATATAAAGGTGTTAGAATGAGTATGTATAAATAAATCTAAAGTTCTATAATTAGATAAGTATAGTACACATATGGGTAAAAGCACATGGTGATATGTAGACTTTTTCCTTTTTCTGAATTGAAAAATGATTAATTCACATAGTATATAACAAGGGGTAGGACTGGATACGTTTTTTACTTCTTCCTACTCCTTTGAACATATAATTTGTGATGATGACTATTTTCTTTTCCTTTTTATATCTTGCTTGCTTTCACTTTTCACTTTTTGCCAACTTGTTGCAGTATTGTATATTTTATATGTTCAATAAATCATAAACAAACAAACAAACATCATTCTGTTATGGATGTATGTATGTATTTCTTGATTGATTTACAATAAAATATAGAAGGTATTCTATCCAAGGGAACACTTGTCGTTACATTGTGCTATTTCAGTGTTTCCTTTATTTTTTTTTGAGCATACCGTATATATATATATATATATATGTATGTGTTTGTGTGTGTGTTTGTGTGTGTGTGTGTGGGGAGAGAGATTTTTCAATTGTTTGTGTACATACATATACAGTATATTACCACTTAAATATCAAATAAATTATCTATAATTATTTATTCTGTTATGGTTATTGTAACCTGTGCATGTATGATCTATTTACTTATTTTTACATAAGCACACAATTTGTTTGGATTGGCATTTTGTAATTTTTTTCTGTACGTGGCTAATTGTGGGCAGTGATGTTTTGCCTGTGATGTTTATTGATTTGAACTTGACCGGCAAATTGGTGCCATTGTTAAATCCAGCTTCTTTCACCTGAGACAGCTGGCCAAAGTAAAACCTCTCCTCTCTCATGAACACTTTGAGACAGTAATTCATGCCTTTGTCACATCCCGGCTCGATTACTGCAATGCCCTTTACTTTGTGTTCAGCCAGTCTTCCATTAAGCGTCTCCAGCTGGTCCAGAATGCCGCTGCTCGCCTCTTGACCGCTACTCGTAAGAGGGAGCATATAACTCCTACTCTGGCATCCCTTCACTGGCTCCCCATACATTTTAGAGTTATTTTCAAGATCCTCTTATTTGTTTTCAAATCTCTAAATGACCTTGCGTCACCTTACCTCTCTGAGCTCATCTGCCCCTACACACCTGCCCGGCGCCTCAGGTCTGCGGACCAGACATTATTAGAAGGCTCAGAGGGGATCGAGCCTTTTCTGTTGCTGGTCCCTCTCTCTGGAATGACCTCCCACTGAATATTCGGCAAGCCTCCTCGCTGCCCATCTTCAAAACCCGCCTCAAAACTCACTTGTATTCTTTGGCATTTGACTCAGCATGACTTAGATTGTTATTGGTTTTGCTGTTTGGTGCTTTCTACTGTTTTTATTCCCGATTTGCTTTACTGTTTGTTGTATATGTTAATTTGCTCCATGTACAGCACTTTGTATGCAGCGATGGCTGTTTGAAAGTGCTCTATAAATACAGTTGAGTTGAGAGTTGAGTTGAGTTGTGTTATGTTTATTGATTTTGTATGTTGGACCCCCTCGAAAAAGAGATGATTCATCTCAATAGGTATATCCGTAATAATTCATTTCAAATGAAGCCAGATTTTCTCCTGAAAGTCCAACAAATCATGGTACTCTTGAATTTAAATGAACTACCATTCAAAAAACAGCTCAGCGGCGCCAGAATGAGCGTCTTTGAAAAAACGTTCATTAGACCGAAATACATGACATTCAGTTCGTCTAAAATATGAACAGGTTCATGAACTTTTTCAGTCAGTTACAACACATGGTGCTGTTGATGTGTGCTATTTCTGCTTTCTATTACGTACCAACTTCGCAATTTGAGGTGAGGCTGGCTGCTTGTTGACACACGTCCCATCTCACCTATGCATTTGAACAGGAAATATGCAAATTGCAAATTTGCCACTTTTAATGATGACATCACGGATATTATTGGATTAAAAAAAGATATATTACACCAAGCCAAGACCAGAGAACAAGAATTGGAAAAAAAACCGCATGTCCCTGCATTACACAAACTCTACTTCACATTTGGTCCTTTGAAAAGTAAGCACCGAGTGTTTATTGAGTCCTCCGGGCGTGCTACACCTCCGTCGGTGTCTGGTGGGACTTCTTGAGGTGAAGAAGGCCCAGGCAGTGCGACCTGAAATGCAGGTCAAAGAAGGCATAGAGGAAGGGGTTGAGACAGCTGTTGATGTAGGCCAGGCAGGCGGTGTACGGGTAGGCCAGCAACAGGAAACGCTGGAAAGCACAGGAGGTCGGGAACAAGTCCAGTTCGAACAGGGCGCCCGTGCTTCTCACCACATGGTAGGGGAGCCAGCAGGCGGCGAAGATCACAACCACCGTGATGATGATCTTCAAGAGCCGCCACTTGCGTTGGTCCTCCTTGCGCCACATGTTGAAGGGGCGGCTCACGGGACAGCCAGCACACAATCATGGCCAGTAAGGGGAGTAAAAACCCCAGGGAGGACAGCAACAAGCTAGCCGGGGCGAGCCACTGGCTCTCCTGATGCCTGTTGCTCACGACCAGGCTGTAGTCCATGGTGCAGAAAGTTCTGTTGGTCCTCGGGTCTTGCTGGGTGTTGCGGAACACGAGGACAGGGACAGACAGGAGACCCGACAGCGTCCAGACGGCAAAAAGGGAGGCGCCAATGTGGCTGCCGGCGCACAAATGGTTGCTGGGCGGTGAATGCACAATGGCCCGGTAACGATCAAAGCTCATGCTGGTGAGGAGGAAGATGCTGGCGTACATAGAGAGGAGATCCATATAGCTGATGATCTTGCACAGGGCCGCCCCAAAGGGCCAGTGATCATCCAAAGCTGTGTACACCGCCCAAAGGGGCAGCGTGACCGTGAAGACCAAGTCGGCCAGAGCCAAGTTGCCGATATAGATGTGGGCCACCCGCCGCTTCCCCTGCACCTGCGTCACGGTGTAAAGGACCACACTGTTGCCGGTTAGGCCCAAGATGAAGATGAACATGAGGAGCACCGGAATGAGCGATGGGCATGCCGTCCACTCGGAGATGTCGCACATGGTGTAGTTCTTCATCTTTTCATAGTTTTGCTGAGGGCTCTCAGTCTGCTCCATGGCTGTTCTCTCTTCGGCTTGGGGTGGCTTGTGTTGCTGCTCATATGACCTGCCCACTCTGAGCCCCGAGGATGCTACATCCCACCCCCCCCCGCCCCCCCAAGCCCCGAAACGACTGCCCACTTCTAGTGGAAACATGTTCTTTTGTTAACTTCCTGAAACATAGCACAATACATTACATCATCTACTCTTGCACTTTTTTTCACTTTTACTCACTGGAAATGTAACAAAGTAGAAATGAATGCAAATAGTTAGACAGAATGAAATGGTAGAGTGCAATATCAATATAAAAAAATATTCAATTCATAAATCACATTGTATTCAAAAGTAATTTCAAGTTCAAGTTCAATCAATGTAATGACATGTTTACATCCACTCCTGAAATGAAACGTGAACTTCTGTGTGCTTCAAGAACTCGATGAAAGATACATTCATTCTGAAAGACAGGAAATCACTTTAACCTACTTGTATTGGTTATTATGTTGCTTTATCTGCTCTTCTGTTTCCTCTAACCCAGGGCTGTCAAACTCATTTCACATTGTGGGCCACATACGGCCTCGGTAGATGTCAAGTGGGCCGGACCATGAAAATTATACCATACTCTGCTGTAAATAACCAAAATAATATGTCTTTCCTTTGTGTTGGTCTAAAGAAGCACAAGAACATTTGGAAAATGTTGAAATGTAATGAACATATCTTTTACAAAATGTTTCATGAAGCACCTTAGATTTCCTGAGACAAATGTGCAATTTACTTTTATCATTCACATATATGCATTGCAACGGATCCCACTGATTGTACAAAGGCACAGAACTTTAACAAGTAATTGGTAGTGAAAAATATAGTATTGCACTTTAAGATTCAGCTAGATTTATAAAGAGAGGAAATTTTAAACTATTTACACACGTGCATATAAAATCTAAATTTAATCCCTGCCTACACCTTACAAACTAAGGAGAATGCTATTAAATGTGTAAAGAATAAAGTATTCATGTCCTTGATAGTGTCTGCTGTGTTGGGTCTGTCTTCGTGACAGACTGAGACCGCTGTCTCTTCTCTGATCAAAACAAGGTTGTCTTTTACTCTGATCAAAAGAGTGGAACGAGCGGATACTCAGTGAATTGCACCTTATTAAAATATTCACTCCGTGTCTTTTATGTATTTTTTCACTTTAAAATGATCCTGCGGGCCTGATCGAACCTCCTTGGGGGCCGGTTCCGGCCCGCGGGCCGTACCTTTGACACCACTGCTCTAACCAGTGGCACAAAAGCAGCTGGTTTCCTGTCCTGCTCATTGGGCAAATAAACGCACGCATGCTGATACATCTCTCTCTCTCTCTCTCTCTCTCTCTCT